TCATATAATTCACCTTCTCAGGTCATTTTCTCAGCATACAGGTTGACTAAGTATGGTGAAAGAATACAGTCCTGGTGAATACTTTTCCTGCTTTTAAACCATCAGTATCCACTTCTATTCCAACGACTGTCTTTTGTTCTATATGCAAGTTCCTCAGGAATACCCATAGAAATCTAGTAGTCAAGTAGAAAAGCAGGTAGTGATTCTAGTCTCCTCTCTCTGTTACTAAGTCTGTCTGATAAGCACTCACCAATATTTAATTTCTCTTTTCCTTCCCTGTTTCCTAATCCCTTTGTTCTTGTTTTCATCTTTTATTATTTCTCACTTGAAACTACTCAGACTATAGTTGCTAACTGGTGGTTGCTCTTATTTATTTTTGTCTTCCTCAAGTAATGGCCACCAGAATGATTTTTCTAAAACGTATTATTTTACATGTTGCATTTAGTAGTCTCCAGTTGTGCTTTTTGATAGGAATGGTGTTCCTCTGATAATCTGCAGTGGTGATCCAAGAGATCTAGAAACTCAGTTTTTCAATGGAAAAAAAATATATTATTTGACGGGTCTCAAAAGTTTTATGGAGTCCTGCTGTAGTGCTGTAGGATAAGGTTCAAACCCACCAGCTGCCTCTTGGAAACCCTATATGCGCTGAGTAAGAACAGCCTCGATATCACTTAATAGCAGCAACTACTTCTGTATTAAAACAGATAAACTGTGCAATGAGCTATAACATTTGCACATCTTTTTAAAGGAAATTTAAAGAAATTTCCTAATAGTAGTTGGTCTCTATTTGAATTTCTTTTATTCATTTTTACTTCTATTAGAGGTTTGTAGCAAAATGAAATTGAGAAACACTGCTGGTCAATAGGGGAAAAGTTTAAGCTCTCTGTCATGTTGTTAAGTGTCTTTGAATAGGTTCCAATACATAGTGACCCTGAATAGGGATTCCAAGGAGCAGCTGGTGGGTTTGAAGAGCCAACCTTGTGGTTCGCTGTCCAGTTCTGATCCTACAGCACTAGTATTGTTGTTGTTAAGTGCCGGCGAGTCGGTTCCAACACATAGCGACCCTGTACAGGGTTTCCGAGGGTGTAAATCTTTACGGGAGTAGAAAGCCTCATCTTTCTCCCACGGAGTGGCTGGTAGTTTCGAACCGCTGACCTTAAGGTTCGCAGCCCGATTCTTAACCACTATGCTACCAGAGCCCCTAGTATAACAAAAAGATCAGTAAAACAAGGTTCTTCTTTAAACGCTATCTCTGAATTGTCTTCATGTTTCCCCTGAGACGCTGAATGGGTTATAATTCTGTAAAACCTATGTTTTCTAAAGTTTCTCTGGCTGTCCCTGGTGGCACAACGGTATATATTATCTTAGTTGTCTAGAGCTGATATAGCAGAAATACCACAAGTAGGTGGCTTCCACAGTCAGATGCTTATTTTCTGTTTTGGAGGCTACAAGGCTGAATTCCGGGTGCCAGCTCTAAGGAAAGGCTTTCTCTGGGTCCGCTCCAGAGGAAGGAAGTCCTGGTCTCCTCAGCTTCCCTGGTTCCTTAGAGAGCTCCATGTAGCTTGGTTTCTATTTCTTCCATCTCTGCTTGCTCATTTGATTGTTTTATATGGCTCAGAAGAGACTGATTTAACAAAAGGCTATTCTAATTTTACCTCTTTAAGGAAAACAACCCATTCTGAAATGGGATTATAACCACAGGCATAAACAAAACAAACTCACTGCCATTGAGTCTTATTGCAACTGGGAGAAACCCTATTTAGGGTTTCTGAGGCTATAGGATAAGCACTGGACTGTTAACATTGTTAAGGTCTGTGGTTCAGACCCACTCACTAATCATTCTGCTGAACTATACAAGGTCACTATGAGTCAGAGTTGACTCAACAGCACTTAATAACAAATCTGTATGGAGAAGATTACGGAAGAGCTGGTGGATTTGAACTGATGACCTTGTGGTTGAGTAGTCCAACACATAGCCCACTATGCCACCAAGGCTCCTTAATCACTGGCATAGACGTTAGGATTCATAACATATTTTTCAGGGACACAATTATGAAGAAAAATGTGACATCAGGATTGGAGGAAGACTAATTAATAACCTGAGCTAGGCAAATGATACAACCTTGCTTGCTGAAAGTGAAGAGGACTTAAAATACTGACGAAGATCCAAAACCATAGCCTTCGCTATGGATTACATCTCAATGTAAAGAAAGCAAAAATTCTCACCACTGGACCAATAAACAACATTCTTATCAATGGAGAAAAGATTGAAGTTGTCAAGGACTTCATTCTTCTTG